TATCTATATCTATCTTTTTTTAAGAGGTGGAGCTGGGAGCAGGGCTGGGAAGCACAACTCAAGCAGACACGTACCTGGGATTTTGACCGAATCCTGGTCAATTCTGTTCTCCTCTCTGTCCAGGTGCTCCAAGCCCATCGCTTCTGTCTTCACCGGGGCGTCCTCCGTTGCAGACAAGGTGGTATACGTACTAATAACCAGTATTCCCAGGCCAATCCACAGTATAATCTGCACAATGTGCCAGAGCTTCAGTTAGCACAGCAAAACAAACGGGACTGCCCTGTACAGCACCCTCCATGCAAACAGTGTCTCCAAACAATTCAAAGCTCAGTGCAATTACACATGTCAATGAGAGAGAGAAGAGGGGAGAAATTTAAGAGGTGAAAAAAGAAAAAAAACAGAACAGGAGCTTTGGGCTGAGGTTTGTATTTGGACGTAGAGACGTACGAATGAGAGTTTCAGATGCTGGAAGCTGCTGAAAAGGCAACTCCTGTGTCAGAAAGGCTCAACAGCAGCGGACAGGATGTAAGGACAGAAAAATGCACGTGGCAGACAAGAGTCCAGCTGCAAAGACTCAATCCCCAGCATTTCCAGCAGCTACATTTGAACACCATGAAATCAGGTCTGGCTGAGAACAGAGGTGCCTGACCTGTTTACAGCCTAGAAAGGTTTCTAGGGAGCCGTTTAATAATTCTTATTTTTGAGAGCAAGAATAAGATGTCCACACACAAGTCCTGGTGGCCAGTGCTCGAGAGGCTGCTAAGAAGTAACTGATTTCCAGAAAGCTAGGACCAAACAGAATAGAAACAGTAAGACAGAATCTGGATCCTGTGGAGGGAAGGACTCTATGAATTTCTCACACTCAAAAAGGAGAAAGTGACCTGCACCAAAAAGAACATTTCTACAGCTTATTATCTAAGGATAAATTGATCTAAAAGGATCTGATTTCACACGAGCCTTAAGGAAGAACGAAAAAACTCTCTGCCTTTGCGCACACACAAAAAAAAAAATCTCTGGGAGCGCTAGCAAACCACGGGGTAACTCGAGAAGGACAAGCAAGACGACGCAACAGCAGCAGGGGGAGAGGAACGTCTGCCGTGTTCGGTGCCGGGGCTGCCAAACGCCTGCCTGCTCCTCCAGGCGAGAGCGGTACGAGCTCAAGGAGCCGAGCGGATACATTGCTGGCCGACAACACTGACCAGGGAGATTTAATTAAACTCTAATCTATTATTTTTACCTAGTTAATCATTGCAATTGTAACAGTAAGGGCTTCTCATGGAGCCTTGGCTTGCACGTCAACGCGTCAACGGCACGGCAAATGAAAGCCTGCAAGAGTTTGTGCTGAAGGAAGCAGGCGAAGAAGCGGCACCCTCCGCTAGAAACACGGGTGTCCCCACAAGCTCCTTTTCACAACGGACCACGGAAGCAACAGGAACCATCATATGCAAAACAGAAAATGCCTCTGCAGTGCTGGGAAGCTGAAAGTTTGCGGCAAATTGGTATTTACGATGCAGCAATTCTTCCCCTCTTTTTTTTTTTCTGCTCTCTGAAATGCCAGAGATCTAGCTTATTTCTGCAGCTCTGCATACGGCTGCAAAGGATCCAGGGCAATTCTGCCAACCGTATCTTTTCTTTGCAGCTCGTGGCCACCCTGCGCAATACTCAGAGCTCGTCAGCAGCCCACCGCTGGTTCTCCTCTGCTTTTTGCCAGGTCCCATCCCCAGCCCTGCTGCCTGCGTGCTGACCGCAGGCTGCTGGGAGAGGACACCGCTTCTTCCCCCACACGTCTAACAAGAACAACTCGCTACGCATGCTTCACGAGGCAATCGTAAGAAAGTCTCAATCTGCAAAGGAAAAATGCTGCTTTGGTACACGATCTTGTTGCTGTGCAGTAGGAACCAGGCAAGCTGCCTGGCCCCTTTGCAGAGGGGTGCAACACTCAGAGCAGGGGTGTGATACCAGCTCACGAGGGGACCACGTCTTGCGGAACTCCTCCTCTTCCCCCAGAATCCTCACCCTGCAGCACGCACATCCCAATTAACAAAAAGCACAACAAAAGGATGCTGCTCAGCGGGAGAAAAACCAGGAACAGCTACAGGGGAGCACTGCTACAACTGGGAGCTGCCGGAGGGAGAAAGCTGAAAATAAAGGGGAAAAGTGAAATTGAAAGGGTAAGTTAAAACGTTGGCACCCCCAGGGCAGGGAGGGCAGCCTAACATTTTCCTCTCCTTCCTCATGCTGAGGGAGATTGCCCAGAAACGTGGGCCAGGGTGGTCAGAGCATCGGGCCCAGAGGACCCCGTTCTCAGCACAGCCCTGCAGACAGACAGACAGACAGACGCCTTCAGAAGGACAAAGGTTGTCGGGGTGCGAAGCAGCACTGGGCAAGGGACGAGCAGCGTGGCCAGGGAGCAGAGACCAGACCTTAGAGACGCTGCAAAGGAAACAGAAGTAAAATCTGCTCCTTGCCTTGCCGTGTGGTGCACAAAGAGCAGATATCCTGCCATCCCGCTCGGGCCAAAAGTGGAGTCAGCAGGGCCCTGCCGTTGCTGCCCTCGGCTTGGAGCTCGTCCACTTCCTCCCTCACACAATCTACAGCCCCGGCAGAAATGCACTTTGCAACTGGAAGGTCGTTCTGGCGTCTTCCAGAAACAACAGTGGAGAGGAAGAAACAAAGAGGATCTATTCTGGTGCCACAGGAACCAGGAGCAATGTGGGAGAAAAGGGAACTGTAGGAAACGGCTGAAAACGTTACATGTTTTAAAAGGATTTTTGTTGTTTCTTATCTTAGTGGGGAACTGCAAGCTTGAATGCCTTGGATTCAAACCCCTTTGTTTAACATTTGGAGTTCATCTGTGAGCTTCCCAGAGCAGCAGGTACGGGCACACGTGGCAGCCTGTGAAGAGTCTGCAGGCTGGGCTGTCCATGAACCAGCAGCAGCCCCTCGCCTTCAGCTCCCCCCGCCAGCACGTCTCCTCCTCACCTGCCCCGGCCGCAACCAAAGGCCAGAACAGAGAGGTCCACGATTTGACATTCTTCTGACATGGAAAACCAGGCAGTTTGTACTCAAGGGACACCAGGGCTGATCTGGCAACTGAAGGAAGAGGAATGCAAGGTGCAAGGACCCCGTGGCTTGAGGAACCAAACACAGGCAGAGTAGCCACCTACCCCCACTGCGTCCAGCTGAAGGGCTGAGAACCTGGAGCAAGGGGAGGGTCCAACACTGCAGAGTGGTTATAAGCCAGTGCCTGGTCCCACATGAAGGATCTCCCTACCTCTGAAAAGCAAACCTGCTGGAGCAGAGAGCCTTCCCCAGAAGCGCCTCTCAACGTGGACAGGGCAAGAGGACGTGCAAGCCCCTCTGCCTGCAGCCAACAGGCAGGTCAGCAAGGCAAGGGCCTGTCTCCCGAGAGGAGCGCTCTGAGCACAGGCGGCAATTCAGGAGAGGAAGTTTACGCGGCCGTTTCCTCTGCCAGTTGCTTTCCCTCGGCTGTCCTTCCTCCCAGAAGATAACTCGAACTTTGTACAGGAGCGTCATTAGCTCAGACCATCTCCTCTAACCACGCCTGAGCCATCAGCGGGAAGCAAAAGAGAAAAAAAACAAACCCTGCATTTGTGTAGAGTGACGACATCCTCCAAACTGTGCTGTTTTGGACACTGAGCACTTGGAGGGCCAGAGTCATGGCGAAGGAATGCAGAGCCCCGGTCAGCGCCGGGTTCCTCAGCTGCACTGCGACAGAGATGCCATGTTTGAAGGGCTGTACCAACCGAAAGCGCCTGCGGTGAAGGTGTGCTGGCCGCTGTGCTACCAGGGGAGGGCAGAGGGGAATCTCTTTTCCATCCGCACAGGAGCGAGACCGAGGGGTCATTTCCTGACCTCCAGCAGCCTCTCCGCAGCTCCTCTTCCCCAACTGGGACAGCAGCAACTCCAGCCTCCCTAGGAGGGGCCTCTCGGACGGGCTTGTGTCAACACTGGGAAGCCAACACCTTCCTGTTAGAAGTTAAACACTCTGTTTACAGACCTGAACGCGACCTTCAGCAGCACTCTGCCAAACCTCACTCTGTCCCCCAGCTCAAGGCTCCCGGCGGGCAGCAGGACGTGGACCCGCGCCTTTACAGGAACACGCCTGATGCTTAACCACAAGAAAGGGAACGCTCTCCCCAGTTCATTCACAGCTCTGCACGCCTGACTTCAAGCTTTTAACTGTTACCCGATCGTCGTTCCAACCCAGCAAGCCTTTCCACCAAGCCCCCCCAGCCCAGCCCAAGCTGCTGTCCCCAGCCCGGCCGGCTGCCAGCGGCTGGGATAATTAA